CGCGCACCCGCGCACGCACGCACGCACGCACGCACACACGCACGCACGCACGCACGCGCGCACGCACGCACCCACAAACAGACACACACACACAAACAGACACACACGCACACACACATATAATATATATATATATATAAATACATGTCGACTTTTCGCAACCAAAGTGTTTCACATTAAAACAATGCTTGGGATGATTGTTCACCTATACATACATGTACCCGTGCGATTGTGGGTCTCCAACCGGCGAATGGCCGAAGGACCTGGTTGCGGGGCGTGTCCCGAAGATGCGCAGGGAGGATCCATGGGCCTCACTGGAGAAGCTGGCAGGGGAACTGAGCGGGAGGACTTGTGTCTTTGGGCGTGTGGTAACACGAAACCCCTTTTAGACTCGCGATGCCATCCCTGGCTTTCCTTTGCAGAATGCCTTGCCAATCCACGTTGCAGTTCCTTGGGAAGAGGCTAGCCCTGTTGCACATGTCTCAGGTGCCCAAAAAGCAAATCGACCCGACATGACGAAATTGGTTTCCAAATGATTGAAGGTTCCAGAAGGTGACCACCTTGAATTTCCAGGTCCGAACTGGGGCAACTGAGATGTGGGTCTGGGTGTTTGGGTGGTTGGGTGGGTGTGTGTGTGTGTGCGCGTTTGCGTGTTGGTGTTTGAGGCCCTTGTAAAGGCGGGCTTAAGGCACCCCTGCGGTAAGCCCCACAGAGTCCCCATTGGGCGAGCCATCACCCGGCACGGGTTGGGTCACCAGTTGGGTCGGTGGTTTTGTGTGTTCAGCTTTCCCAATGAAACAAATCACGGTTTCCAAGTACCCCAGATGTGTGTGTGTGTGTGTTTTTGTGTGCGGGTGGCCAATGTTTGCTGGTTTAAAAGGAAGCCAAAAGGAACACCACCATTCAGGGGTACCCTTAGAAAAGACCTCCCCATGCTATGACCGGGGTTGGGCATTTGGCTCAAGCAAGCAAGGCCATGGCCGTTTTTTGGGTGTCCCCCTTTGGGTGCTCAAACAAGTCAATCCCTAGGACACCCTCTGGAGGGCACCTCTGTGGGCTACAACCCCTTCCGTCCTTTTGGCGTCCATCTGAACATGTCCTTGTGGTAGAGCGAAGCACGTAGCTGAAAGTCCAAAGGGAGAACATTGAATGTTCGCGAATGAAGTGCAGGCTCTTGCCGTGTGAAGAATGAAGGTAGGTTCTGATGAGGTGTTCCCAGTTCCTCTTTCTCTTCAGTATCGGCCTGGAAAACCCACTTGGTAAGCAAGTTTGGGGTAGTAGTTTCCTTATAGCCGTGGTTACAATCTTCTCCCCAGACACCTTTTCGAGGTTCACATGCCCCTTTTGTTGGGTTGTTTCTCGGGCAATCGTTGAACGGGCAGCCATTCTGTTGAAGGGGTCCCTTCATTTCTTGCTGGTTCTCATCCGGGGATGAGGTGGAATGACCTCTAGACAAACTGTCACCAGCAAGATTTAGAGACACTGTGGCTTGATCAAACGACCGGACGATCGAAGCTCAGAAGGTGTGCCTAACCATTTGGACTGCGGGTTCTATGTGCCCAAACTTCACGACAGATTTTGGGGGACAGTGTTTTTTGACCCCACCCTGTTGTTTTTGAACCAACAAGCCAAACTGTGAAATGGAGGTCGAAAAACAAGTTTGTGGTTGGACAAACAGAGGATTTGTCCCCTTGAAACTTACCCGGACCTGCGTGAAAAGAGGCACCCAGATCGCACTGCTTGTCGCCGTTGGGGTCCTTCACGGATCCCGGTATGAAGCCGAAGATGCTTTCCCAGTCTTTTTCAAGCCAAGTATTGACATCATTTGAAGAGAAGCATGAGAATGGTCACGGACCTGCAATGTCAGCTGCTTGCATTCGTCAATCCAGCCCTTTTGTTTTGGTTGCAGGTGTTCAAAGTCATTTTTGGGACGCCTTCCCCTCCACTCACTTGTGCCAGCCACTGACTTGTCCAATGCAATGCTACAACAATGGCTCCAGTTCCAGGGTTCGCAGCTTGAAGTGAGTCTCCTTTTGGTTTTGGTGGTTTGGAGCCCGGTGGTTTGGTTTGGGAGTGGTTTCCCATTTGCCCACAAGAAGCAGGAGGTCAAATCCCACCAATCCAAGCCACAAATTAAGCAAAACATGGAAACGTGGGAGTATCATCTTGGAGCCCCTTTAAAACCTATCAGAAAAAAGGGGCATAGAGATGAGGAATTTGTTGTTTCTTCAGACCCCCGTATTCCATTCTCCCTTTTCCACCTGTAAAACAATGGTTGGGTTCACATAGCCATCATTGTTTACCTAAAGGCTCCTGGAGACTTCAGGATTGTCATCATCCAACTTGGGTCCCCTTGGGACTTTCTTGTAATGGAGGCATGGAACCCCACGGTCGCCTTGTTGCCCATGTCCTTTTTGGTTGATTCGGTTGAAAAATTGAGGGCGATTCCTGCTTGACCTGATTCAATCAACTACCAGCGCCATCTATTTTCCCAACAAGGACACCAATGTTATTGAAACCGTGAGAAGCCATGCCTCCCTGGTATTTACAAGGGAATCAGCATTCCAGGGCTTCTTAGGTGGTGCAGGATTTCGTCCATCCACAGTAAGGTCACCTTTTCGCCCCTTTTGCCTTTTGGGTTTCCTCAATGTCCCCCTTAAACACCGAGGAGGCAATGGCTCCGCCACGCCCGCAGGCACGGCTTCCATGGCGTGGTGTTTATTTTTTGAGGTTGGACCCCGCTCAAAATGGCGGTTGTGCTTCTGGTTGCCCGTTAAATCCACCAAACAAGGGTACCTGGAGTCTCCATGACCCTTTGAAAATGGTGACCCTTCATTTTGGGTAGCGACCCCATTTTTTAAGGGTCATAGAGACTCCAGGTACCCTGAAAAATAAAAAATACAAAACTTGGTTTGGTGTTTGTTACTTTGCCTTTTGCCGGCCCGCACGCGCGAGCAGATGCATGGGTCTTGGGAAACAATGCGAGGCTTTCGGCTGAGCGAACTCGTTTGATAAGTGCGCGCGCCCTTCACGCTTGTATCGCACTATTGTATTGTTTTCTTTATTACTCCCATTGCATGGCTCCGGAATGTTCATTCTCTCTCTCTCTCGCAATGTGAGTGACTCGTTTTTTGGAGGCTGGACCCTGTTTTTGGGCTAGGCCAGCCACAAGGAAAACTGTCGCACCATTGTTGGGTCCAGTTCCTACCCAAAAGAGACCCGCGTGGCTTCACGTCCCTCGAGTTCCCTCCAAACCGAAACGCAATTGGACGTTCAGGTTTGTACGTTCATCCAACTGTCTTCCTGGCCCCCAAATGACTTTTCCCATTTAGTGGTTATTTTATCATGTGTATTATCCAAAAGTGTTGTTACTTAGTCTATGTATATGCAGGCATGTGTTTGGTCTCCGCATGGACGTTGGTACGTTGGCTCAAGAAAAAGGAGTGCTCCTACTTTACGGGGGTTTGCTTTCTGGCTTTGTTGCTTTCCCCTGTTTAACAGTAGGTTATCAGCCGTACCGCTCTGTTCGGCGGTACGGTTGTCCCGCAATGGCTGAAGACGAAGCTGTGTATGAGGACCCCATGGACGGAAGCGGAGGCGGTCCTAACCCCGACCCTCGGGACCCCACTTCAGCATTCGCGATCGCAAGGAATACCGACTCCAGCTTCTTGAACGCCAGCGGTCACACCTTACGGTCCTGACCGGCATCCATGGTCGTTGGAGCATAGCGCCGGGAGGGATCCTAGGCCCAGACCGCTTGGGCCTTCACTGACGCAGATTAACGTCGAGGCCAAGCAGCAAAACAACCTCACCCAGCACAACGTACTCCAACAACAATTCATCAATGCTGACAAATCCCCTCAAGTGGAGGCATTGGCTGAAGCTCGACTTCGGCAAACTGTGGGTGAACTCGAAGCCAAGGCCGAGAACCGCCATTCCAAGGCGATCCATGACCTCCAGAAGAAGCACCGTAATGACCAAAACGCGTTCATCCTGGAGGCCACGGAGCACATGAAGCGCCTCACCATCGAGAACACGACCATCAAAGGCCAACATCTTGAGCTTCAGCGAAGATGCGGAGAGCAAAGTTCCCAACTTCAATTTCTTCAAGCACAAATGGATGAACTTCGCGGTCTGATTCAAACAGGTGCTTTCCATCCTCCTCCTGTACAGCATCCTCCTGGACTACCGCAAGACGACAGCGCTCGACGGGGGGAACCTCAGTCCCGAAACGTTTTCCAGTCCACGCCCGACTTCACCGGATTTGCGACACCGGCTTCTCCTGATGATCGCATGGATGATGACGAAGAGCTCATTCGTGATGGTCATCAGAATGATGGACAAGCTGGTGGATCTGGCGGTGGTGGTGATGGCAATGGTCCTCCTTCGAGACCTTCGCCTTCCTATACACCTTCGCAGCCACCCCAGGACAATACTGGGGGCAAAGATCAAAAGCAATCCCGCGCTGGCGGACCTCCTGGACCTCCTGATGGACCAGATGGTGATGATGATGAGCCAGCCGATGACAAGGGCGAGGACGATGACAAGGATAACAAGAAGAAAAAGAAGAAGGACAAGAAGAAGGATAAGAAAAAGAAGAAGAAGAAGAGCCGACGCCGTAGACGCCGAAGCGGTGGATTGAAGAAGTGTGGACTGCCGACCAAACGATGGAAGCGCTCGCTGATTCCAAGAAGTTCGCCACGCTGGATGCCAAGCTCGCCTCTGCGCTCACCAACATCCTCGAGGGAGATCTTGCAAGGCAAGTTGATTTGGAGAAGGAGAAGGTTGCCAAGAAAGGTCGTCTATTACGAGGTCGTGAGATTCTCTGGATGATCAACAGGCGCTTCTCCACGAACATCAAGCACGGGGCCGTGTTCGACTTCGAGGACCTCCTGGCGGTTATGCTCACCAACGATGACCTGAACCAGTTCGTCAGTAGGTGGGATGGGGTCATCGCCGGTATGACTACCGAGCCAGATGTCAAAATCCTTGAAGCTCTTTTTCATCGGCAAGTGAAACGTTTTCGCCCCCTTGCTCATGACAGCAACGAGTACGAGCGCGCTGAGGATGGAAGTACGAGACGACCCTATGAGTTCCTTATGTCATCAGCCAAGGCGTATCTCGAGCGGAAGAGACTCGAGAAGATGCGTGATGCTATGACTACTTCGGTAGGAGGGCGAGGACGACCTTCCGCTGCTGCATCATCGGAAATCCCAACCGCTGCGGGAGTTCCCAACGGATACTGCATCAAGTTTCACACAACTGGCCAATGTTCGCGGGACAACTGCAAGTACAAGCATGATCCAATTCCTCCGGGAAAAGGGAAGTCGAAGGGCAAGGGCAAAAAACCGTGGAAAGTCTCGAGGACGTTCCCAGAGCCCTGCCAAGAAAGATGAAGTCTGCAAATTCTGGATTTCAGACGTGTGCTACAAGGGCAGCAGTTGCCGGTTCAAGCATCCACCCGATCAGAAGTTCGCTGCTGCAGCCAACACATCGACGGGTGGGAACCCAGCCCGAAACCCTCCGGCAGACAAGAACAAGAAGCGCTGGAAGTCTAGGCGACAGAGCAGGAAGAGAGAGAAGCAGAGGCAGTAAATCCTCTAAATCCTCTCGTGGGTCCCAGTCTCAGAAGGACAAGAAGAAAAGCCGCTCTAGGTCGCAGGGTTCCGCCGCGGTATGCATCCTCAGCACCATGCTCTTGGCCTCGGCTTTACAGCCCGCAGCCTCCATGGCGACGATGCATATCACGGAGTGCGCCAAAACGGGATTCGCCTGCCCGGCGCGACGGGGTATGCCGGATGTGAAGTGACCCAGGATCGAGAAGATCATCACCTTTTCCGACAACCCGGACATCGAGGAAGTTGAGGTTGGAGCCTATCTGCAGGGTCAGTTCGATGACTTCATGCCCAGAGAGTTCCAGAAGATGAAGTATGGACTTTGTTGGGGGCAGGGTCTCACTGAGATCAACGAGAAGGCTCACAAGGTGTTGGAAAACTGCTGCCGGGAGGAATCCCAGGGCCCACATGTCATAGTTGTTGCGTGGTCTGGCAACGACGTTGTGGGCAACCATGGTTACCTGGATAATCCCATCGCTACTTCCATGTGGGCATGCAGATCAGATGCAAGGCTTAATGCGGGGAACCTCATGGTCGACCAGCACGCCCTGAGGGTTGAAGCCGCCGTCAATCAGCTCACTGACTTCAAGCGGAGATCTGATGTCATGGAGATTGTTGTCCTTTGCCCGTGTGAACACGAGGCCTTTGGCCTCACGCCGTCATACAAAAGGTCCATGAAGAACTGGACTCAGAGTTTTGGACGCTCATTGACCGGACATCCAGGTACGACAAGCTCCATGCCTTCGACGACTCATCGAATCGCTTGGTCTTCATGAAGTACTACGCAGCAGCAGCGATGATTGGACTTTATCTCCCGCAGGTTGAGCAGTGCAAGGCTATTTTCCGGGACTGTTGCCAGGGGAGACCTTCGGCCATGACCTCAGCAATCGAATGCACCGACCTTGATGCGGAGCAGACAAGAGTTGGGAACGCGGTTTTGAAGGTCAACCCCAACAAGATTGTCAAAGGGGAGAACTTCACGGAGGAAGAGTTTGAGCTCCTTGGCAACCCGGACGCCGCGCACACTCGGCTTGAGGAAGAGTTTGAGCAGCACGGGGAACAGCAGGTCCAGCTTTGCAGATCCGACGAGATCGACATCGACGACTCGGATGAGGAGATCGTGTTCAAGAGGCCGATCATTTCCGAGCCGGTTCCTCCTCAGGGCATCGTGATGGACAAGAGTGACGAAGAGGAAGAGTCCGAGGAGGTCATGACGAAGATCAAGGAGGAGATTGCCGAGGGGGACACCCGCAAGCGGAGGCACAATGGGACGATGGTCTTCGAGGAGTTCACAACCTTCACGGACATGGATGAAGAAATGGACAAGTCCGTGAAAGAGGAGATCATTGTGGACATCAGCAACAAGATCACCGGCAGTTCCACTGACCGCCCTGCGGAAGCGGAAGCCGCGAATGCTAAGGCCAAGAGCGTCTCCAAGCCCAAGCCCAGGCCGGACATCCACATGAATGAGATGGTTGAGAACATGGAGCCGGGCGAGCTGAAGTATGTTAAGGCGGAGTTGTTGCCGGTCGACACCGCCAGGGATGGCTAGGCCACATGGGTGTCTCATAAGATCTCGTATCTCACCCGTGGCAACGCACACAAGCAGTGCAAGAGGGCACCGCCTCCCATCTCCGAGCACGATGGCTCGGTTGACTTTAGCGCGGCCGTCAACTGGCTTAAGGTCAGGTACGACAGCTCCCTTACATCCATGCGCCTTTTGGCGATCATGAAGGCAAACAACCGATATGGGGTCATCATCCAGAAAGGGGACCCCGACATGCTTTGGCAAGGAATGCAGTGGCGGCCAGGAATTGGCAAAGAAAATTGGCCCCCTTGGCCTTGGCGCTGCGAAGGTGACGTACGATCCCGACTACTCCGACGAGCAGTTCAACAACTTGGAACGGCCCAGGACGAATTGGTTGATCGAGTCGCCTCGCGGGAGTGATGGCAAGATCCCTCCGGTGCTCTACCACACGACGGGGTCTGCCTACATCGACATCCTCATGCTTGGTCTCTTCCCTGGCGGCCTGGCGGTGTTGGCGTTGGTCAGTACTCCGGGGGGCGTGCTCATGTTCATTTCACCAGCGTTGCCCCGTGGGAACAGAAGGCCCGCAAGGTCAAGGCGCTCGCGCCAATCAGCCCTACAATGTGGCCATTGACACCGAAATGTTCCTGCAATACGGAGGTCGCTTGCAGAAGGTCGACGACACCTACGTCACTGACGATTGGGTTCCCAACCGCGTGATCATCTACCTGTACGATGCCCCGAGGAAAACCTTCATCTACGCAAACCGTGCTTATCCTGCCTATCGCAGGGAGTACAACCTCATCAAGGAGCAGCGCGAGAAGACGGTACCTCGGCCAGTTCACGGAGTCGAAGATGGCCGTGCACAATAAGGACATGGGCGCAGTGGGGACATCACATCGACAAAACTGTTTTCAACCGCATGAGCAATGGCATCAGGGAAAGAGAGTATTAGAAGAGGAGATTGTGTCCGAGTCCGATCCCAAGAGGAAGATTGAAGATTTCCGTGACGTTCCCTACATCGCCCGAAGGAGTTCGTTGGCCCAGCAGGAGACGGGCCACATGGGCGACTTCTCGGTAGGGAGTTACAAGGCTGGAAGGGATTGGCGTTCTTTGAGTCCATCACTCGAGGGCAACCACACGAATTAAACGTTCGGAAAAGTCATCGAAATCCCCGGTGTCGAATGCTACAGGTGCAAGCAAACGCACCCCGATGGATTTACCATCTGCCAGAGGTGCGGCAGGTTCATCGAGTATGCCACCGACATCCGGAGGATCTCACAACTTTGCCGCTTGGAAGAGCTGGCCGATCTCCACAATTGCACGGTCACGGTGGAGATGATTGACGCCCGCGTCTTCTTCAAGAAGACCGAGACTGCTCGGGGTGAGCGGGGCGCTCAATCTAAGGCCGCAGCATCAAGAGCGATATGCAAACGTTACGTGAAACGCTCCCTCAACAAGAACTTCCGATCCCTTCAAGACCGTCTTCAAGGCGACCCGTTCTTTGCCAAAAACTGTGCAGTCGCAGATCTGACACCCAGTGCTTTGGCGTGGATTGAAAGAGTCGCCAACGCAATCCTTCCTCCAACCGATAGGACCAAGGAGCAGATCCAGGCTGGGACTGGAGACAATTACCTTGCCCGGCTGGCGCTGGTGCCCAAGAAGGAAGCAGTCGTGAAGGATGGCGTTGCAACCTTTGACATCGAGAAGGAATCCTTCATTTGGTATCGCAACTGCAACCGCTTCTACAGGCTTGGGCAGCTCGCTGTCTTGTACGCGGACACCAGACGCTTCGAGGTGCTCGGCTGGGTGAAGAACTTTAGCAGCCCCACTGGAGGCGCAGAGGAGTTGGTCAAGGAGATCTACGACTGGGTCGAAAGCGAAGTTGCTATCGCCGACTGGAACGTCGTGGCCAAAGAACCAACCAAAAATGTTCTTCCTCCTCCCAGTGCTCCGGGCACAGGCTCCCATGTCCATTCCGCTCCTGGCTACGAACCCTATGGTGGACGTTGGAGTGATGACCAATGGCGGAGTTGGTCCAATTGTTGGACTCAAGAGCAGTGGAGCGAATGGCGACGCGAACAAGAAGAAGAACGCCGAAGGCGCCGGGAGAAGGGCAAGGCAAAGGGCAAAGGCAAGAACAAGGGCAAGAACGCTCCGTGGTCGAGGAGGAAATGGTGATCATGTTTTTCTGAGAGGCATTCCCTTTTCCATGTATAGACAACGAGCTGTTCGCCCTTCAATGTTGTACAGATCAAACCTTTTCTTCGCATGACTGTTTGCACTGTGGGAACAGGGGCCCTATTCCATTTTGACTTCGGCTTGGCCTTCCATTACATCATATGAGTTTCCCTTTCAACTACAGTGCATTCAGAGTGATTTTGAATTTGTTGCAGCCGGCACGTCGCTGGCGCCCCGCGGAAGCGGAGGTCTTGCTTCGAAGTACAGCAGCCTCTGAAGTTCAAAACATCCGCGGCATGGCAAGCTGAACATTGTTATACACATTATGTTCTACTCGCACACTCTTTTGATCGTGCCTTCGTCCCGAGGTCGGAACCGAGCTGCGCTACGACTTCACTGCACCCCGGATGTGTAGTATAGATGTACAGTGCCGTCATTTTCCATTTCACCACTGTACACGGGGGGTGTTGTTACTTTGTCTATGTATATGCAGGCATGTGTTTGGTCTCCGCGTGGACGTTGGTACGTTGGCTCAAGAAAAAGGAGTGCTCCTACTTTACGGGGGTTTGCTTTCTGGCTTTGTTGCTTTCCCCTGTTTAACAGTAAAAAGGAGGAGTGATGAGGAGTGTGTCCACCATATATAGCCCTCTGTAGGTCAAACATGCCGGCGATCTGCCGATTGTTTTCGCAGGCGGCAGATGTGGACGACTTCCTGGGATCGCTGACGCAGGCGGGGCGACAGTAGATGGAGTTGGGCTGGCCTCATTATATCATAATCAAAGTAACCCGCGTGGTGGGTTAAAGGGAAACAGTCGCCATTTTCCGATTTTGACCATTGGAAAGAGTCAAACTGAGTGGCCCCTAGTTGGCGGCCCGGTTACTGAAGCACATGGATTTGGGTTGGGGGGTGCGGGGTCATCAGCTTGAGCCGCACCCATGTTGCAGCACAATCAGCTGTGGTGCCCCAAAGCCCTCAGCGAGGGCCACAGAATGTTTGGGCCGCTTTGGTGAAAGAAATTGCCGTGATCGGGAATTGCCCCCCTGCAAATTGGCATGGAAACCTAAAGAAAAGGGTCCCCCTTGCTTGTTTTTCTGGGAAATGCGTGGCTGTGCTTTGGTATGCCCCTACTTGGACAAACCAAACAAGGGAGGTTTCATGATCACGTAAAAGGTTTCACGGCTCTGTTGCCCATCCTGCCTTTTGGAGAGGTCCCTGCTTGAGTGGATGATTTCTTGCTCCCGACGATTGAAATGTGGCAGCTTGGATAGCTGGGCCCGGCTTTTTGAGGGCAGCTTAGTTCTATAGTTCCACTGGGTCACGCGCAGCGCACCGTCACTCTCAAACAAAATGCAAAGGCAACGGCCTGTCAGGTGCCATTTTTCTCTTCTTTGGGGGAGGGTGTCCCTACTAGAATAGACTACAGAAAAAAGGTACCCTTATTCAAACCTCTCTACTGGAGGGCCTAGGCTGGTTCATTCCAGAAAGGAGCTCCTTGAATCTGGGAGACTCCAATACGCATTCCTCCATGGGAGACGGGAGCATGGCATCTAGTTCGCTAGAACGGATGCCGGTCATGGCAAGAAAGATTACGGTGCGGCAGCTGTCTGGGGCAGAAAAAGCATTTGAAGTGCTTGCAGACATGACCGTCCGTGAATTTAAAGGGGAGCTGCATGGATGGCTGCCCTGCAAAGATGAATCACAGCGCAACATGAGCTTGGTGGGAATTGTTGTTGGAGACAGGCCCCTGCTGCACAACGAGGAGCCAGTGTCGGAGGCCATTCCAGGTGAAGAAGTTCTTGCTTTCCTCACCATCCAGCCGGTAACGTGCGAAAGCTTTAAAGCCTCTGGCTGCAAGCTGGACGACTTTCGCGTGGTAGAAATTCCTACTGGAGCGAACAGAGTCGAAACAGATGCCTTCAACGGCTGCACCTCATTGGCAAGCGTGACCATGCCCAACTCCGTGACTGAGATAGGAGACGGTGCCTTTGGAGCCTGCAGCTCATTGGCAAGCGTGACCATTCCCAACTCCGTGACTGAGATTGGAGAAGGTGCCTTTGGATATTGCAGCTCATTAGCAAACGTGACCATTCCCAACTCCGTGACTGAGATTGGAGAAAGTGCCTTTGAACGTTGCAGCTCATTGGCAAGCGTAACCATTCCCAACTCCGTGACTTATATTGGAGAAGGTGCCTTTGGGGGTTGCAGCTCATTAGCAAGTGTGACCATTCCCAACTCCGTGACTGAGATAGGGGACGGTGCCTTTGGATATTGCAGCTCATTGGCAAGCGTGACCATTCCCAACTCCGTGACTGAGATTGGACGACGTGCTTTCCAAGGCTGCAGCTCATTGGCGAGCGTGACCGTTCCCAACTCCGTGACTGAGATTGGACGATGTGCTTTCCAAGGCTGCAGCTCATTGGCGAGCGTGACCGTTCCCAACTCCGTGACTTATATTGGAGAAGGTGCCTTTGGACGCTGCAGCTCATTGGCAAGTGTGACCATTCCCAACTGCGTGACTTTGATTAGAAATGGTGCCTTTGGATATTGCAGCTCATTGGCAAGCGTGACCATTCCCAACTCCGTGACTAAGATTGGAGAAGGTGCCTTTCAAGATTGCAGCTCATTGGCAAGCGTGACCATTCCCAACTCCGTGACTGACATTGGAGAACGAGCCTTTGAAGGCTGCAGCTCATTGGCAAGCGTGACCATTCCCAACTCCGTGATTGAGATTGGAGAAGGTGCCTTTGAAGGTTGCAGCTCATTTGCAAGTGTGACCATTCCCAACTCTGTGGCATATATTGGAGAGCGAGCCTTTGAAGGCTGCAGCTCATTGGCAAGCGTGACCATTCCCAACTCCGTGACTGAGATTGGAGAAGGTGCCTTCAGTGGTTGCAGCTCATTAGCAAGTGTGACCATTCCCAACTCCGTGACTGAGATTGGAGAAAGTGCCTTTGGATATTGCAGCTCATTGGCAAGCGTGACCATTCCCAACTCCGTGACTTATATTGGAGAAGGTGCCTTTGAAGGTTGCAGCTCATTTGCAAGTGTGACCATTCCCACCTCTGTGGCATATATTGGAGAACGAGCCTTTGAAGGCTGCAGCTCATTGGCAAGCGTGACCATTCTCAAGTCCGACAGATTGGACCATGCTTCTTTCGATGACTTCGCCTCATAACCCTTGCTTTTTCAAGAGGGGATGTTCTCCCAGGGAAGATGCCACGCGCACAGAAATATGGCTTTGTCATCGGATGGGACCTCACGCAGGTGCTTTTCAACTTTGGTCTTCCTTCAACACGACCGGGCACCCTGAAACACCAGGGGTTCAAAGTAAGCAGTCTTGTAGCTGGGTTTTCAGGCTGCCTTCATCCCGAAACTAGGTCCTGACTTCCAATTCTCGGCAGAGACCCATGTTTGCGCATGTCAGAGACACAAACCATGTGCTTAGTGAATCAAAACAGCCCCTTTTTGAAGATTGGGAAGCTTCGCCTCCACATTAACAACCACCAAAAAGGCGACGGGCACCATCAAACATAGGGGTGTCTCTTTTTTGAGGGAGCCCCCTTTTTGGATGACTTTGAAGGGACACCAAAAGGAACAGCTCCCTCCTTTCTTGTTTTGTTTTTGTTTGGGGGAGCCATATCCGCAACCAGTCAGGTATCGCCAAGTTGGTGCTTTGGATTCGTGGTTTGGGAATTTGAACCCGTAGGGCATGAATCGGAAACCAGCCCTTAACCACCAAACCACCGCTTCGGCTCCAAATCACCGGAAGGGGACATGCACCATGGGGTTTCCCAAGGTGTACTTGGCCGAACTCCCAAGTACCCCCCTTTAAGGGATGGAGGGACACTTGGCTGTGAAGTTTAATTCCGGGAACCACCTCAAAAGTGATTAGTGGATACGAATCCTCACCTGAATGACCCCCGCCAAAGGGTCCTCCATTAAAATTCACACCCACTTTTCTTTGGCGCATTTTGCTTGGATGTTGGGACGTTACCTTTTTGCCAATTTTCCGTATTACACCACTAAAAGTTAGTCACTTTTAGCAGGGCTTCACAGATTTCGCAACAGAGTTTTGCCACAGCCGGCACCGCTGAACCGGGTGCCTGTGGCTCTCGCGATTTGTCGTTCGCTGGGTTTCGGACTGGATCTTTGAATGAAACAAAGCCAAAGCCATGGTTGAAAAATCAGAACCTTTGTTAGGGTATTTACAGGGGAATCGCCAATGCAGGGTTTCTTAGGTGATACGCAATGGATTTCGTCCATCCACAGTCCTTTCTTCGGTGGACCTCCCAAAATGGCTAAAAGGGGGTCCTTTGGGTTTCCGTTGGAACGCCACAACAAAAAAAGGGGTACCGACATGCCCACATTGGAAAGCCAGGACTTTGAGCGTACTTTACACCGTGCTCCTGAGCATTTGTTCCGCTCTGGAAGGCCATTTTGTGAGGTAACCCGTTGAGGGTTTGGATTGGTTGGGGGGTTTGAAGCGCTGGTTGTGGTGGGTAAACGAGGCATCCCACCCAGCCACCCAACCTCATCTTAACCGGGCTCCAAACCTTCAAACCACCGGGAGAAGCTGATACGAACCTTTGCTGGCGCCATTGCACTCACTCCCTGAGTTCCTGGACTTTATGACTAGTTTTTGGGAAGACCCTGTTAGTGGCAAAGCAAGAAGTTGTGGGCTTCTTTTTGCCAATCCAATCCAGATTTAGTGTTGGTGCTGGACTTTCGTCACTTTTTGAGACGAAACTTGCTCACTTTTTGGGACCATGCTGGTAAACAGGTCTCCTAGGTCCCCCAGTATAATGCCCTTTCACCATTTCTTTTTTTCTGAGTTTTCAACTAAAACGGATTGCAGACAAAAAGCTGGTACCAACTTATCCTATCCTCTCCAGGCCAAGGGGTTCAAGCCCTCGCCCCCAGAGCCGGTGCAGCTGGCTCGGCCCCAAGCCGTTTTGAAGAGAGAGCGAGCCACAAATTGGCCGAGGACGTGCAGCTGATGGTTGATCCCAACTGGGGGCTTGTAGTTTTTTTTTTGTTTTTAACGGTGCTTTCTGTGGCTTCTTTCGGTTCTTGCCATGCTTGCTCCAAATGGATGCGTCTTAAGATCGGAATTTGGACCCGCCAAAGTGGATTTTGATTGGCTTCCCCTTTTAGCCTTTGAGCAATAAGCCTCGAAGAAAGGCAAATTCACATGGCTATGCAGTTCCGGGAACCACCCGCATTTGGGTGTGGCTCAAAATTAAACCATCGGAGGGGCGGTTTCCGCAAGTTTTGGTACCCATGTTTCCACTTACCAGGGAAATCGATTTTGGAATTCCGGTTTTTTGGATCGCCACAGCCATTTGTTGGACAGTCCCATGAGGTCCAAAGAGTCCCCCGATTGAAAGTCACATCCAAAGACAATGCCGGACGTCGCGACGTCGCTCATCGTTTGGGGAACCCCCCCCTTTGGCTTTGAAGGACAAGTTTGAGGGTTACACCATGAGACACCCCCTTCAAGCCACCACATCCTCTGCCCACCAATTCAGGGGAAGATAAAATCGCTATTTAGCACCCAGACTCAACTCTCCCTTTGCCTCTCCCCTTGCCTTGCCCGTTTGGGGTTTGTGTGTAGCCATCATTATTGACTGTTCAGCAGGTTCATCCGGGTTGGGTCCCCTTTGGTCGTTCTGAGCCGTAGGGCATTGAGAAGATGCGCTTTGGAAACCCTTTCTCTAGGGGTACCTTCCCCAGTCTTTCCAGGGATCCATTCTTTCTAGAACACCTTCAGAAACCCACGAAAAACGGCCGGTTGTTGGAAAGAACGATGGTTGAAAAGAATGGGGAATCAGCCCCTAGACTTTTGGCTTTCCTCAATGCCCTCCCTTTAACCACCAGAAAGCGACTTTTTGCCAAGCCTGGCCGAGGGACTTGGAGGGTTCTCCAGGATTCGGAAAGCCACAAGGAGGGTCGATCCCCCAGTTTTGGGCTCCCCTATCCGGGGCCAGGAAAAAGAGGTGACGAAGTGACAAGTCTAGCGGCATCTCAGTTTGGGAGCTTGTGACTTTCTCTGCCCAGGTTTCTGCAGCAAATACCTGCCCCAGTTTCTGATGTTGACAATCTTTTTCAGACGAAGAAACCAGGTCCGAAAACAAACTCCACTCTCACCGCCTTCTTTTTTGCAGACCTTTTGGGAAATTTCAGGCTGACGGGCCAAACTTGCTGACCCCCGAACACTTTCAGTGGATTCTCTCAAGCTATGCCGGGCCAAAAAACACCAAGCCACTGGGTCGCTCCGTTGGGCGTTGTGGTCACTTCTGTGGTCTTGGGATCGAGTTTCAGGGTCATTGGAGGATGGGCGTGTCTGTATTTAGGCACTCCCTTCCCCCCGTCCCCGCCAACAAAAAGTGTTTTTCCCCAAACAGCGAAGCATTGGGGTTCTAACTTGAGGTATAGAGAATAGGAAAGTGTGACGCCGATTCCGGGGTCCTGTTTTCCGCTTGTCTTCCTGTCTCCCAGTGCGTGTCTCCCGCTGTGTCTGGATGCCAGATGCTGTGACGCTGGCTCCGGGTCGTGTCTCCCGCTTGTCTCCCTGTGTCTCCCTGTCTCTGCGGTCAGATGCCAGATGCTGTGACGCTGGCTCCGGGTCGTGTCTCCCGCTTGTCTCCCTGTGTCTCCCTGTCTCTGCGGTCAGATGCCAGATGCTGTGACGCTGTCTCCGGGTCGTGTCTCCCGCTGTGTCTGACACTGGCTGTGTCTCCCGCTTGTCTCCCTGTGTCTCCCATCTCCCGTTTTTTGTGACGCTGGCTCCGGGGTCGTGTCTCCCGCTTGTCTCCCAGTCTCTGCGGTCGGATGCTAGATGTTGTGACGCTGGCTTCGAAATTGTGTCTCCTCCTTGTCTCCCTGTGTCTCCCAGTCTCTGCGGCCGGATGCTAGATGCTGGCGCTCGTTGCTGTGAGCTGGCTGCTTTCCTGCTTACAGCCCTCAACAAGAAAAATGAAGTTCCCGCACATCTTCTTGCCCAGGTTTGAGGCTGACCTGGCTTGCTTGGCATCCAGTAACCGGCGTTCGGCTCCCTTCGGCTCCCTTCTGCTCACGTGGCAGCAGCTCGCAAGCGCAATTGAGAAGCATCAAGCTAGAAACATAGATTCGACAAGTCAGCAGGAACCACTTGCAACAATGTGACAGGGCATGTGGCAGATTTTGCTGCTAACCTGCGTGCAAAGGATGTGCCTCTCTCTTGGCCAAGCCCAGGTTTGCATCCTGGTGGAGCATCGTTGGAGCTAGAAACAAGCAATGTCGAGCCTTAATTTTTTGTCGTTAAACAAACAAATCGTGACATCCGGCTGATTGCTTTGCTCAGGAAACTGAGCCGCTGTTTAGAAGCCAGTGCCGCACTTCTTGGTCAAGTGCAGGTTTGCATCCTTGTGGCGCACCAGCAGGGCCCTGTCGAGCCTTTCTATGTTTCTCTCGATAAAAACCAATATATCGTGACATCCCGCTGATTGCTTTTTGGAAGCCAATGCCGCACTTCTTGGTCAAGTGCAGGTTTGCATCCCTCTGGCGCATCAGCAGAGCCCTGTCGAGCCTTAAATATGTAGACTGGTTTCAATAGACAAATACGGCTGATACTGAGCTGCTTTTTGGAAGCCAGTAGTTTGCATCCTTGTGGCGCATCAGCTGAGCTCTGTCAAGCCTTAAATGCTTGTCAAGTGCAGGTTTGCAGCCTTGTGGCGCATCAGATCCGGCTGATACTGAGTTGCTTTGTGGAAGCCAGCGCCGCACTTCTTGGTCAAGCGCAGGTTTGCATCCTTGTGCGCATCAGCAGGGCCCTGTCGAGCCTTAAATCTGTCCATTTTGTTCTCGATAAACAATCACTTTGCTCAGGATTATGAGCTGCTTTTTTGGAAGCGCCGCGCGCTTGTTCGTCAAGTGCAGGTTTGCACTCTGGCGCATCAGCAGAGCCCTGTCGTCGAGCCTTAAAATATGTACTTTTGTTCTCGATAAACAAATACCGTGACATCCGCCTGATTGCTTTTGCTCAGGATTCTGAGCTGCTTTTTGGAAGCACTTCTTAGTCAAGTGCAGGTTTGCATCCTTGTGGCGTATCGGCAGAGCTGTCGAGCCCTAAATCTGCATATTGTTCTCCATAAACAAATATGCCGTGACATCTGCCTGATTGCTTTGCTGAGAATT